GTGAAAATTGAATTTGAGTATTTGTCTCATCGTCTTCAAAAAAAATGTAATATAGCTAGCATTGGCTCTTGGATTTTTTATTGGAGTAGAAGAGGTCGATGGTGTTGCTTTGTTGGTAGTTCATCTTTTTTTTCAGTTTTGCTTGAAAGATCCTGCGGCCCAAGAGTTATTATAATTAGCTTCATCATTAAGTTCATTATTTGATTCATTGCTAATTTCATTAATAGAAGAGGAACTAATGACAGAGCTTTCTCGCAGTGTGCAAGAAACAACATCATCGTCTTGCGAAAGTATTGGCGAGGTCGATCGTTTCTGAGAAGACATTTTTTTTTACTGTCATACGATATGCAACAAAATCAATTTATATATGAGTAACAAAAAGGAAAAACCTGTAAATCATTTCACTCATTATTATCGCAGTGATATGTACACCTAATTCTTATAAGAGTAGATACTGTATCATTGCAATGATAATGAGTGAAATGGTTTACAGGTTTTCCCTTTTCGTCACTCATATCAAATATCTGATATTTAAAGTTTAATTGTCACTTATGCACCAATATGTGAAGTTTAAATCGTATAATACACAAAATTTAACAGAGCCGCCAGTAAAAACTTTATAATCATTATAAATTTATCTTTATATTTAAAAAGCGTAACAAGAGTTGCTACGAAAAGGCAGGATACTAGCAGAATTCAAACTATTCTTGTCTGATATGCTAAGAAGATTTGATTTAATGTCTCTTTCTTGATCGAATTAAGTGGTGTTGCTATGAAATGTGCTTCTTAGGAATGTAGTACAGGGTCACAAATGACAATTCATTTTGACGTTAAATACGCCATATTATGTGTTACATATACTTGCTTGAGAGTTGGTGATTATCTCATAATTACCGAATCTGGAAGCTAATAGAAAGTCATGTCTAAAATTAATGGTACTGATCTTTGTCGCATTTCTTAGAATTTGCGTTGGCAAGTTTACGATTGATACTCAGGCGTTATTTACGTGCTTATTCGAGAGTTTAGCGATTTATCTTTAATAGCTACAGATAGAAATACGTAATATGAGGGTAAAAAAGATAGAAAGTCAATTACATAAAGACAAAGAACTCAAAAATAGAATTTTTACACAAAACTTACCACGAATCACGTGAACAGTAAAGTCATAACGATAAAAGCAGGAAAATGCGAAGCTTTACAAATGAGAAATATGTTTCAATTTTATTGGAATATAGAGGTCTTTTCGGCTCTACACTAGCTTACTTCCTGCTTTTATTGAGGTCAAAAATACTGCTTTATTTATTATTGCAATATAAATCCCAATCAAATTCGTAATATTATACAAAATTTGATTTTGATCCATCATTGATATCTTAGGATCTAGTGATTGAATTTGGATGATTTTAGTATAGGATTTGTCGACCAAATTCGTGTTTCAATCAAATTCATGTATTTTGACCCATCATCGATAACTCATATTCTAGTGGTCCAATATCAACAATTTTGATACCATTCAAATCCTATTATCGAGAGGATTCGAATAGTATCAAAATCATCAAAATTGGATCACTAGAATATGAGTTGTCGATGATGGGTCAAAATACACGAATTTGATTGAAACATGAATTTGGTCGACAAATCCTATACTAAAATCATTTAAATTCAATCACTAGATCCCGAGATATCAATGATAGATCAAAATCAAATTTCGTAAAATATTACATATTCTGTATAATACATGTTAATGCGAAAGATATGCTATCTAGCATATTGATGTATTAACAATGATTTAATTTTTTAGACCACAATGTTGCTATTATCTGGAACATTCTAAATCAACATGTCAATTGGAGATGAATGTATGAAAATTATCAGGCCTTAAACAAGTTTCCCTTTAAAATCAATTCTCATTTAATAATTTATATAAATAAGGAAATGAAATGTAGGTGTACGGGGCCAATCATACGAAAATTCTTCTATTTATATTACATATGTATGCACGCAGTGTTGTTGACCGGAAGCTGGAACCTCACTAAACGTAAAGATAATTCCAGAAGAAATTATTTCACTGAAACCAGTGTAATACTAGCCAATAAGATCACATTAAGGTTATTATAAACACGTGATATTGGGGAGTGTCAATCGTTAGTGTTTTCGTATTAGTAAATATTTAGGACAATTTAGGAATTTTAAGATATCCAAAAACAATTTTTTTTATTTGTATATATTATAGGATAATCCGAAAACCAACTTTACTAACAAAGATACTTATCAACATTATGTCATTAGTTTAAAATATTGTTATAGAATGAGTTGTAGTATTAGTTTTATTATTAAGTTTATTATTAGTTATAATTAGTATATTATTAGTTATATTATTATTATTATTATATTGTTATATTATTATCTTGTATTCTATTATTATATATCG